AAATGACCAGTGATGTTGAACATTTTTTCATATGTTTATTTGCTATTTGTACTTCTTCATTTGAGAAGTGTCTGTTCATTTCAGACTTCCACTTTTGAATTGGGTCTTTAAATTTGGGGGGTCTGATTTTTTTCAATTCTTTGTATGTTCTAGATATTAGTCCTTTGTCTGAGGGACTACTGGCTAAAATTTCTTCCCACTATGTGGGTTATCTCCTCATTCTGTTGGTGATTTCTTTTGGGGTGCAAAAGCTTTTTAATAGGATGAGATCCCAGTTGCTTATTCTTTGTATTATTTTCTGTGAAGTCTGAGTTTTGTTCATGAAGTCCTTGCCTACCCTTGTATCCTCAAGAGTTCTACCTATTCTCTCTCCCAGCAGATTTAGTGTTTATGTTTTAATGCTTAGATCTTTGATCCATTTTGATTTTAGTTTAGTGCATGGTGAGAGACATGGGTCTAATTTTAGTCTTTGGCATGTAGAAAGCCAGTTTTTCTAGCACCACCTATTAAAGAGGCTATCTTTCTTCTGGTGAATGTGTTTGACCCCTTTGTCAAAGATAAGGTGGCTGAATGTGTTTGGGGTTGTCTCTGTATCTCTAGTCTGTCCCATTGATCCTCAGGTCTGTTTTTTTTCAATCTAGATTTTAACTTTCAATTCTAATTACTGATGTATTTAGACCTTTCTTCAACATCATATTTGATATTTTATATATACTGTACATCTAACATTATTCTTTTTTGTCTAGTTTTTGTTGGATTGATCGAGTTTCTTTAGTATGCATTGAATTTCCTTCAAACTTTGCTTTTCCATACCTATATAAGGTATAATTGACAAATTGAGTGAATATTTTATTTTTTTAAAATTTACAGTAAAAGACACATTGCTATTAATCGTCCTTCAAATATTCCCCCCCAACTTGTATATTTCAATAATGCCCCATATTTTTGTTGTTAAAACTTTGTTACAATTTGGTTTTAAGTAAATATTTTTAAAAATTTTATAGCCAATGATTATTTAGATTTGCCAATACATTTTACAAATTTCTTTGCTTACCATTGTTTCTTATATCTCTGCCCTTCTTCCTTCTGACATGAATCCTGTAATGGTTCTTTTGGTAAGGTTCTCTGTCTTTTCAATATCCTTAGTCTTTGTATTGCTTAAAAACAATTCTTATTACGTTGTCACTCTTTGAATGCTGATTTTTGGTTCGTATTTTCCCTCAGCACTGTGGTAACATTGCTCTATTTTCTTCCAGCAGTTGTCCTGATGAAGAAGTCTGACTCAGTCCAGATGTCATTATCTCTTGTAGCTTTTCTGAGTCTGTCTTATTTCTTGATATTCTGCATTTTGTTTTTGTAGGAATCTTGATTTTCTGGAAAATTCTTATCCATGCTCTTTTGGAATATTGGTGGTTGCCATTTTCTTTGAGTGCAGGAGTTTCAGGCATGCATCACTACCCTGGCTTATTTCTTAATTAAAAAAATTTTTTTCTTTTATCTCTGTGCTGTCTTTTAGGTGATATTCTGAGTTCTGTTTTCAGATGAATTAATGCTATCATTAGGCAGACCAATCTACTATTTATTTTCTTTATTGAGTTTTAAAGAGTATTATTTTCTCTTTTTTATTAGTTGGCTGCTCTTACCAATTTCTCTATTATTTCTGAGCTTTTTCAATATATTTGTTTAGAATTCTCCCCCCCCCCTTTTTTTGCAGCATTATTTCCTTGGGCATGAGTTACCTCATTTGTTGGGTTTGCTGACATAAGTACTTTTGTGGCTCTGGAGTAGTTTAAATGCTTGACAATTTTGCTTTGAGAATGCATTTTGTGTGGATATTTTTACTACATATGCCTCTCTGTTATGTGGTTGTTATGACATTCAGATTGTATAGCTACAAACCCTTGGTAAATATTTATATTAATATTTAAAGACCTCACCTTGAGCCACTTGGGCAATGCTAGAAACTACATCCATACCTATTGTGGAGTTAGACATTGGTATCTGACAAGAAGCTGTGGCTTATGTGAGGTAAAGAGATTGAAATTGTGTTTCATTGGAAGACTGTGGCAGGAAGCATACTCCTTGTTGGTGGCCTGCAGAAGAAACAAAAGCACTTGCAGGCAGAAAATTCTGTGAATTCTATCTTCAACACATATCCAGAATGTAGCCACTTATTGTCACCTCTACTGCTACCACCTTGGATCAAGCCACTTACATTTTGAGTTACTGGAACAGTCTCTGAATGGTTTTCCTTACTACTGCCATTGTCCCCATTCATTTTATTCTCACATGGAAGGCAAAGTAATCCTGTGTACGCTAGATGAGCTCATCCACTGCCTCAACCCTCCATTTGCTGCCCATTCTCACTTAGGATAAAAGTGAAAGTCCTCACTATAGTCTGGAGATCTTGCCTGATGTCTTATTTCTCTCTTACAGCTTGCGCCTAGCTCATCTTCCTCCAGCCACAGTAAACACAGGCACATTCTCTCCTCAAGCACTAGGCATTCATTTGCTGACCTGGAATGTCTTTTCTATGGGATATCTACATTATTTCTCTCTTACTTCATTCACAGATTTATTCAAAGGTTATCTTTGATTTATGATTTAATACTGAATTTCTCCAGCATTGCATGGCATTTGTCATCATGGAACATACTTTATAATTCACTCATCTTATTCCTGATGTCTGACTATCCACATTAGAATGCCATTTCCATGAAGACAGGGGTTTTGTGTACTTGTGTGTGTGTGTGTGTGTATGTGTGTGTATGGGGGAGCATGTTGTTTATACTGCATTTCCTAGAATGGTGGACATGGTAAGCACACAATATATTTTTTTGTTTGTTATTTTCCACTATTTTTTTTTGTTTTCTGGTAACAGGGATTGAACTTGGGACCTTGCGTTTTCAAGGCAGGTGGCAGAACCACTGAGCTAAATCTACGGCCCTCACAATATATTTTTTATTAATGAATGCTTTATTTACATTTTACAAAACTGGTAACACTTTGAAAAATTACACATCTTGCGGAATATCAGTTACTTTGTAAGCAATACAGCTGGGATTCAAACCCACCTTTATTTGATATAAAGTACAAGTTCTTAATCTTGATATGGACAGCTGTTCTGTAGAAAGCCACTCAGATACTTTATCTTATGTTTATATTTGCTTATAAGTTAGCATTGCTCAAGAGACCATATGTATTAAACGTTAATTAATGTTTCATTGTTTTTATAGATTATCAACTCCAGGTTGTCTGAATAATGACAATGAAACGAAGCCCAGAACATCCCTAGCTCTTGCTTGCCATGATCATAATAAAGCAGGACAGGTACAGTGTCTTCAAATAAAGCCCAGTCAGAATTTTCCTTTGACTTCTGTTTCTCAAAGAGAGTTCTGGGAATCTCTCTTTATTATTTGTAGTATTTGGGAAAGGGTCAAGTATTCCAGATCCTAACTTGGACTGTGACAAATGTACTTATGAGTCAAGATCTACTAGTTAGCTGAAGTAGGACTGGGAAATCCTTTCTAATTTTCAGTTGCTGTTTTCCATCCTGATTGAGAGTTCAGTGAATCCTTTTGATTATTTGTGAGAGCCATTCTGTAAATCTTATTTTGCTAACTGTCACAATATATTTCTCTATAAAGTATAGACACACCTGGCTTTTGGAGAACTTGTGAAGAGAATGTGAAGGCTAAAGAGTAAAATGTAAAAATTAATTTGTTCTGAAATTTGGGATTGTAGGAAATGTGCTATGTATGTTTGCAACGAGCACAACGAAATTTCCCATTGTACTACAGTGAGGAGAGGAGGAGGAAAGAGATAGAAGATGAACAACTCCTACAGCAGTATCAAATGTTGAAAGATCAAGAGGCTTTCATCAAGCACCAGGTAGTCCAAACCTTCAATTAAAGAGTGTTTAGTATGGAGAAGAAGAACATGATTACCAAAATCTACTTTAAAATGTTCCATCATGCTGGGCGTGGTGGCACATGCCTATAATTCCAGCACATGAGGGACTGAGGTAAGAGGATCACTGTGAGTTCGAGGCCAGCCTGAACTACATAGTGAGACTCTGTCTCAAACAAACAAACAACACAAAATATTCAATCATATGCCTATATTATCTAATTATTTATATACTTCTTTACTGAAACTTACATTGTGTCCAAGTTTTCACTAATAATAACTCACATTAGAATAAATATCCACATGGTTCAATGTTTGCTCATATTACTGATTTTTTTTCTTCCCAAAAGACTGAATTTTAAAGGTGGAAATGCTAGAATTATATTAATTTTTTATTTCTGATAAAATATTAATTTGGTCAAAGCTTTTACCTTTCAAATTCATGGCCTGTTTCAGGGAAGCAAAGACAGAATGGCATCTTTATGTTTACTCTATCCAGATTTCTGTGGTCTCCAATAATTGACCCTACTGCTCTTTTCTGCATTTATAATGAAATCTTCCACTCCCTTTTAAAATTATTGCCTAAAATCCAAACCCTCCCCTAACCCACCTACATCTATGAAGACATCAAAAGTACCACTGCCTCCAAACAGGTTTCTATCTTAGTTGCACTATGGTAATGTTACAAAATTAAAAAATTTAAAGGCTACATTTAAGTTTGTTGTTAAAATTTTAAAAATTGTTTTGTAACAGATGAAAACTTTGGCAACTAGAGAACAGAATCAGAAAAATGCTGCCTATAATTTTGGAGTTGCTGAAGCTATAAGAAATCACAAGCATGAGAAACCAGAATTTTATGTAAGAGTCTCTTTGAACCTTATTGCTAACAGCTGCCCCAACTATGAGTCTTTCGAGCCACCCTATTTGTGTGATTTTTAAAGGTTTAAAGGTTGTGCCAGATTTTAAGCAGCAGAGTTGAAAAGTGGGCTGTGCAAAGGGGAAGCGTTCTTTTAGGGCAGGTGCTGCCCAGTGCCTGACTATACACTGCCTATAGTCACAGACAGCTCCCATTAGTCTCTGCAGCTCTTGTTCATTAGAATGGAGGACCTGGGAAGGTGGTAGAAGGGAGACTACTAAAGTCCAGTTCTAGGAGCTAAAGAGAGAAGCAGCAGCATTTCTGTCACCTGTGAGCATGCTAGAACTTCAGACTCTAGGACCCTTCTCAAAGTTCCAAAAGGGTGAGTCACGTTTAATTAAGATCCCCAAGTGATTTGAATGTGCATTAAGTTTTGAGAAGCTCAGCTTCAGATGGAGTTAAACCACCTGCTTCACTGATTACATGGTTTCAATCATTTGTCTAAGTTTTTTCTTCCTGAATTCTCTTCATATACCACTACCTAGGTAGTCTAACACTACACATACATCAATAAAATACATTTTCTACATCATCAAACATTTGTTAACTCCTCTGGACCAGCTCCAGTGCTGGCAGCTAGGAATACAAGTTGCCTCTTCTAAAAAGATCTCAGTCTAGTTAGGGAGAGAAGCCTTAAAGAGACAAGAGTGTAAGATACTAACAGCTATGATTCATCTTTGAAGAGGAACTGTGTGAGCAAAGAGGAGAGTCACAATCCAGACAAGAAATTTGGGAAGACTTCTTAGCATACAAGAGTTAGGTAAATCCAGGTAGGAGGATGACAAGTTTGAGTTCAGCCTTGGCCACTTAATGAGAATCAGTCTCTAAATTAAAAAAATTTTTTAAAAGGGCTGGAGATGTAACTCAGTACAAAGGTCCTGGTTAAGTCTCTAGTATCTCTCTCTCTCTCTCTCTCTCTCTCTCTCACACACACACACACACACACACACACACACACACACAAATGTTAAGAAGTGAGAGGAGGAGAGGAAGAGCATTCTAGGCAGGAAGAGCAAGGAGAAAGGGGGAGAGCATGGAGCTTTTGACAGCTTACACATGAGCTCCAGATTATATTATTGCCATCCACTTTGTAGCTTCTCTTTGACATATCCTATAGACATTTTTTTTGAGACAGGGTCTTGCCTTGTAATTAGCCCAGGCTGGCCTCAAACTTGCAGTGATCCTCCTGCCTCAGTCTCCTGAGTGCTGGGATTACAGGTGTGTGCCACCACGCAGGGCCCTAGACATTTTGAATTTAAAAAGATCAGAACAGAGGTTTTTATTCCCTCCCCAGCCTGTTCTTCTCTGTCTTCCTGTGTTAGTAAGTGGCAGCACCTTCCAGCCAGTTTCACAGAACTCACATCTTGGAGTGATCTCAAGTTCCTCTTTGTCCCTCACATTCAACCACTTCCAAGTCCAGTTGCCTTCACCTCCCAACCCAATATCTGTTCAGATCTCATCTTCAGTGTTACCACCCTAGACCAAGGCACAAAACTCAACTTTTGCAATACTCCCTCGTTAGACTCATTGCTTGCCCTCTGATTCTTCTACAGTCTACTCTCTACATGGCAAAGTGAGCTTGAAATATTCTTAAGCAAAACCTGCCACTTCCTTGTTTAACTCCTCTAAAATCATCCCACTGAATTTCAATTAAATTCAAACTCTCGGCTTTACCCTAACAGATTGACCCTACCTGAATGCCCCTGCCTTTCTCTTCAAGCTCATCAACTCCTTACTCACTGTATCTCAGCCCCATAGTTTCCTTTCTGCTCACTGAACATGCCTACCTTGTTTCCATCTAGCATCTTTGCGCTTGCTGTCCTTCTGTATGGGACTCAGGTCTTCCTGATTTGAACAGCAAAGGTGATTTAGTGCTCTACGTGGAAAGCTTTTCCTAATAACCAGCCAATTTAGTCCTCCTTCCACTCAGTCACTTGCTGTGATAAGGGCTTCTACCATTTACCACTACCTTAAATGATCTTATATATTTTATACTTGTTAGTTGTCTGTTTCCTGCTCCAGAATGCAAGTTAAATGAGCATAAGGATTTCTGATCTTGGTCATTGTTAGATTGGTGGTGTCTACCAGGCTCATTATAGATATTCAGTTCTTTCTCTTCCACCTCCTTTCTGTTCTTGTTCATGTTTTTGCACGCTCTCAGAACTTCTTTTGTCCATCTGGAAGTTGTAAGTGTTACTCAGGACTTACTCCATTCAAACCTTTTTCATAGAATCTCTCAGAAATGGGTTAGCTCAGCTTTATCCTTGTACATTCCCGTGCTATTTTTTGAGCTAGCTCATCACTAGCTCATCAGTGTATTGAAGGTGAGGCAAATATTAGAAATTAAGAGATACTTTCTGACTGATTTTAGTCTTCTGAACTATTAATCCTTCAATGCTTAGTGTTCCATTTTTTGGAATGCCCGTAACAATGAAACATAATAAAAAGTTTTTTCAAGTTCTTGTTCCTTGAAATTTTCTAGGTCACATATATGAATTTTATGCAAAAATTTAAAAAACTGTGGCACATGCCTGTAATCCCAGCACTCGGGAGGCTGAGGTAGGAAGGCTGCTGTAAGTTTGAGGCCAGTCTGGGCTACATAGTGAGTTCAAGGCCAGCGTTAACTATAAATCGAGATCCTGTCTCAAAAAACCAAAAAACAACAATAAAAAGAAAGAAATAATTATAGCCCATTCAAATAAAAATTAGTTAAAAAAATTGCAATCTTTGGCATTCTACAACAAATGAATTGCTTCTCTTTTATTCTAGAAATCTTTTCTATTCTATAAACGGCCACTTAGTCCTGAGATTAATGCTCTTAGGCAAGAGGAATATTCCCAAAGTCTCCTCAAACAAATGGATAACAGACGGAAAAAAGAAATAATACAAAGACAAGACAGAGAGTTGATGGACCACCTAGAACAAGTGCAACTCACAGAAGAGTGAGTCCAGCCAGACATGTTCTGAAAAATGGTTTCAGAATTTTTGTGTGAGGTTAATTACTATGTAAATTGAATCAGTACTAATGGTTTCATTAACATCACTATAACCAACTGAACAAACTGACCCAGTTAGCAGTCAGTACCATAGTGTAACTTTTCATTAGAAAAATGAAAAAGCCGTTATAACTAGAGTAATAGGGCCAGGGATGTAGCTCTGCTGCACCGCATCTGCATGGTAAGTTCAAGGTCCTGAGTTCAATTCCTGGTACCACAGTAATGATTGCTAAGACACAATTATCATAATTACAGAGTCATTTTGCATTGTTTTGCTATCTTCAATAGCAAATGGAGGAGGGGAACTTGTTTTGAGAAGGTATAATTTCCAGCTATTAGATGCTAAGGCAACCTCATGGCAAAGCTGAGGTTTTATTACAAGTACATAAAGTGTCCTATGGAACCTGAGAGCAGAAATGTAAAGGGAACCCAGGAAAGACTGGAACAAAGGACTAAAAAACCCAGGTAGAGTGGCATTTCCTCGCTTCTACCCAGAGCTCCTTAGTTGAAATTGTCTCAGACTTGAAGAATGTTAGTCTCAACTCCAAATTTTCAAGAGAGAGAATCTAACTGGTTTTGATTGGGTTTTCTGAGCTTTGGATAGGGTCAGGGCCATGGAGTTCAAAGGGCCCAATATTTCTACTACTGAAGTCAGGAGAGCAGTTGTGGAAGCTACCATAGTGTGAGAAGAGACTTCTAAGACAAATAACAAGCTAGTTTTTGTGATCATAAAAGTATATTTCTATAAAATGTATGCATTCCATTATTCTCACTTAATAGGTCATTTGGATTTCCTAGAAGTTGCACACAATGAGTCATCATTTATAACAGGACAGATTACTTTTCTTAAAAAGGACTCTTGCTATATGTTTATAAGATGAAGTCATGTCTTGCTTTCTTATCTAGATTGGTTAAGGAGTAGGCAGGGGTGGGCTGGGAGGGGGCTTGTTGTTTTACTAGTATTTGGACCTTATAGCCAATTACCTGCTTATACGTATCCTATCTGTCATGTGTTCAACACATTGTACACTGGCCTATGGAACTGAGTTATTTTTTCTTTCTTAAGATGAAAGCTCCTAGAATGAAACAGCTATTTTTATTTATCATGCTCTCGTTTCTATTAATGTGAGTACTTGCCGAATATGCTTTGATGACATTAATCTGTATTACTAAAGATTCTATAAGGTTGCTCCCACCTTCTCCCATTCTTAAATGCCAGACTTGCTGCACAAAGAGCCAAATATTTAAAAGATAAGATGGAAGAAACACAGTGCTACAAAAGAGCTTTGGATGCACAGGTAAGGGGACAATTATTATGTTTAAAGTGATGGTGCTTCATTAGCATTTTATAAAAATGTGTACATTCTATAATGTTATTAATACTCTTAGTGTCATACATTTGGTGGTTTTTGAGCCCTCTTTCCTTCCTGTAAGTTACTGGAATTTTATTATATTAGAGAGTTCTGTGCAAAGCTTATTCTCTGGTAGAATTATAATCTGCATTATGTATGTCCCTGTTTCAGATAAAGAATAAGCCCTTCCAGTTGCCCATATTTGAACCAGACTCTTCTCAACCTATCTTCAGTAATAATGAAGATGAGCTGATGGTGGAAAGGCGAAAGCAAGGGCAGAATTATATGAAGCACCAGCTGAAGTCAGCTGCTAGTCTCAAGAGGAAAGCCATCCTGCAGAAGCTGATGGATCAGAAGCGGGATTTGCAGATGCTTCAGAGGTCAAAGACAGAGTAAGGAGGCCCTGTTTTCCTCCTCTTCACTTGTTTCCTCCTCCTCCTTCTCCTCCTCTTCTTCTCCTTCCTCCTCTTCTTCATTTTCTTCTTCTCCTTCCTCTTCCTTCCTTCTCTCCCTCCTCCTTCTTGGTCTTTTGTCTTTGTCTTCTTCTTCCTCTTCTCTTCTTCCCTCCACTTCTCCTCCTTCTTCCTTTTCCTTCTTCCTCTTCCTCTTCTCTCTTCTCCATCTCCTCCTCCCCTCCCTCCCTCTCTTCCTCTTGCCCTTCCTCCTTAGCAAAGAGGTAAAAATAATACATAATACCTTGAGGATTTAATTGTGAAAGACATTGTTCTAAACTCATTACATGCTTCATCTCCTTTTATCCATAACAATGCATACTATGAAGAAAAAAATTACTAAATAATAAATCCCTCTTGATTTTACTTCTTCCTCCAATTCCCTTCCCATATTTTTCTTTCCCTTTATAGTACTGCCTCTTAAAAGAATTGTACATCTCAGCATTATCCATTCAAAGTATAATATGAGCCACAAATGGTGTTATACTCAGGTAAACCCAGACATGACACTCAGGCCCTTTTTCTTCTTCCACTAACCTCTCCTCCCATCATAAGGGAGATGGTGAAAGTGGTGGAATAGAAAGAGGAAGACTATGCCATATCAATGCACATACCTTTAAGTTCAAATCTCACACATCCAGTTTCTTAAAATGCCCAATTTGTCACCTCACCACTAGGACATTTTTGAAGGTCCTGATGGGCCCTCAGCTTTGCAGCAGCTCTATGGTTCCTTTCCAGCCTTTTCATTGTTCATATACCCTGTTTCCCACCCCCACCTCAGATTGCCACAGAGGATTCTAGTTTCTTCTTTATAAATATTCAGTAAATCCCAGATCCTTGATTAGCCAAAAACACCAAGGTATCAGGAGTTCCAAAAAGGCTTCTGCCCAAAAGAATCCAATCTTTTTAGAAGATAGTTATATTTATAAAAAGAAAAAATGTTATTTTACTAAAGCTTCTATAAATTTGCTAAGTGGTTAACAGCATAGTGCTTAGATCTGCTATGTTCTATGACAAATGGGCCCAGACATAAAAATACGAGTGGACAGTAAGTTGAAGATTGGGATCTGGTGATAAGTGTGAGGTTGAATTGTTGGTAGGGAGGGTTGGAGTGGTGAAGCTCATGACTTTTGGAATCAAGTCTGATAGGAGAGTCTTGCTTGTTCCCAGGGAAGTGTGTACTTATATGTCTATATATTTGCTAAAATACAGAGGTATTTCCATGTTTATTGGTAAATAACTGTTGCCTCAAGCCCCACAAGTGCTGCATCGCTGCCCAGACTGCTTCCTCCCCCTCCCTGGCACCACCATCCTATTTCTCCCTGATCTTTCACCTAAAAGGTAAATACCCAAAACCTCCAGAGAGTCCCAGTATCTATTCTGATTGGTGGTGCGGTTCTGTCATTTTACTAGTTGGGTGAAACTGGGCAGGTTACATACTTCTGAGGGCTCTGGTTCTCTTATCCAGTAGGTTAATACAAATATCTATCTGGCTGGTTAGTATAGTGCCTGGCTCATAGTAAGTGCTCAGTCAAAGGTAGCTATTGCCATTACAGGAGAAGGAAAATGAAGAGGCTGTTTTTTATTTTCTGGATTACCAACTGGCATAATTATTCATTAGGTCAGTTTAAATAAGTGAGAGTGTTCTTATTTGGGGTCCTCCCAAGATCTGACTGCCAACAGATAATTATTTACTCATTCTACTGATCTCAGGACATAACTCCTAGAGATTCTGAATATTCTACCTAATGCAGAGGATGATAAAGGCTTTTTCAAGAGGAGAAAAAAGTGGTTGGAGAAAATAAAAGGTAGTAGTCTGTTCTCAGTCTGTGTAGGGTGATGATGTGGTGGTGTGAGAAGCTATTGAGAAGCAGGCAAGGAGCTGTGGGGTGAAGAGCTGGTGATTCACTTTCTATTACATAGACAGCTGGAAATGTTTGTGGCACAAGATTATATCCATGACTTTTACTACTCCTGTGCCACAATTCTGAGAATTATAAAGTTGACTCTAGTTGCTTTTCCCTGAGCATATAATTTTATTTTTAAGATTCTATGGCTTTTTTTACTAACTTTATTGGTACATTTAAATATACAATATAATGACATTCATCATTGGAAACTTGCACCTTTACATAATCCATCTTGGTTCTTATTTTTCACCCTTCCCCTCCCATCCCTTAAACCCCTCCACCCCTTCCTATCTACAAAGACTGTTTTCATTTTTTCTTTTTCTCATAGTAATTCCATTCCCTTCTTTCTATTCCCCTACCCCTCTCACTTCCCCTTCCCCTTTGCCCCTTTTCTTCCCCTTTCACATTATCTACTATACCTTTTATTCCTTATTTACACTTTCAGTTTCTCACACTAGAGAAATTATTTGGTATTTATACATGTGTGTCTTATTTCACTTAAGAGTATCGCCTCAATGTGCATCCATTTAGCTATAAATGTCTCTAGTTTCTTGTTCTTTGTGGCTGTGTAGTACTCCATTTTATTAAAAAATCACATTTTCTTTATCCAGTCTCCAGTTGATGGGCAATTGGGTTGTTTCAAAGTTTTAGCTGTCACAAATTGTGCTCCTATAAACATGGGTACACATATATCACTGTGGTATGATTCTTTTAATTCTTTGGGGAAGATACCCAGCAGGGAAATAGCTGGGACAAATGGGAACTCTAATGCTAGTTCTTTGAGGTATCTCCACATTGATTATCACAGTGGTTACAGCAGTCTACACTCCCAACAATGGAGAAAGGTTCCTCTTTCCCCACAGCCCTGCCAGCATTTGTTATTGGTTAATTTCATAATAGCAGCCATTCTTTCTGGGGTGAGTGGAATCTCAGCATTGTTTTCATTTGCATCTCTCAAATGACTAGTGATGTTGAACATTTTTTCATATGTTTATTTGCTATTTCCTCTTCTTTGTCTGAGAAATGTCTGTTCATTTCAGATGCCCATTTTTGGATTGGGTCTCTAAATTTGGGAGGTCTGATTTTTAAAGTTCTTTATAGATTCTAGATAGTAGACCTTTGTCTGAGGGACTGCTGGTGAAAATTTTTTCCCACATTGTGGGTTGTCTCTTCCCACTGTTGGTAGTTTCTCTTGCTATGCAGAAGATTTTTAGTAAGAAGAAATCCCACTTGTTGATTGTTTGTGCTAGTTCAC